TTTTAAAGTTTAATGTTGAGTAAATTAACCTCTTTGCATCTTTCCTCGTAGTGTGACATATTTCTGAGAACCAGCGGAGGATGAAGATGATTATCTCAGTGAAGTATCAAGCCTGCATATCAGGTTGAGGTATCAGTTTTCAGAATATCTTTTTGTTGTTTCTAGACTTTTTTTATATCTTCTTTCTTACATTATGGAATTATCTGGGTTAAATCCTTGGTCCAAACCCTCCATGTTATGAATTTTATCCATTGCAGTGATGTTGTTTTCATCTGCCCAGCATGTTACAACCTGACAGTGTCCATTTTTTTTCATTACAGCTTCCATATTTCTCTTCAAATGTAAGATTTTGAAACTCATTTGAAAACATTTTTTTTCTCCGTAGAATTCTCTATTTATTTGAATTGTAGAGGTTCTTACTGATAGTAATAAAGAGACCATAATGACTCAGTAAATCCAAGGTTTAAACCTAAATACTCTCAGGGCTAGATATTGGATTAAGCTATGCTTCAATAGACAGATTTCTGTAGATTAAGCATCATAATTTTGTTGCTAGGTAAATGTCTCAAAGAAAATTATTTTGCAGAGGTGAAATTGTTAAATACATAATTGTAAATAGCACCTACAGTCTTTCAAATGTTAAAAGAAAAAAACACACAAGAGTTTCATACCCAAATATTTTAAAAAAAAAGAATATACAATAGATTTTTCCCTTTAGTTTCTGTTTCTGTGTTTGTTCACCAAAAGCTTAGTAATTTAAAGGTGCTACTTGCATGAGTTATTGCATAGTTATCTTTAGAGAAAATCAAATAATAGGCTTTGAATACAGAGAAAAGAAAACAAAGACACAATGCAGAAGGAGTCAAATTAATACATAAAAAAAAAAATAAATAGTTGACAGTCATTGCCCTTGCCAAATTGGTTCCCACAAAGGATCTCAAATCAACTTGAAGTTTATGGGGTAATAGTCAATAATTTTGTATTCTGAAAGTTGCTGTATTTCTTACATTTGTGTCAGTCCTCATGATTATCAGAAGTTGTCTCAATTATAAGTATTATTGCATGATATAGTACAACCAATTTATAATTTTATAATATATTCATATGTTCTTTCAAAAAATATTTACTGTGTACCTAATAAGAGTCAGGCACTAGGCTACATGCTGGAAATAACAACCAAAGGCAAGACAAACTACCATCTCTGTGCTCGTGGACTTTTGAGTCTAGAGGTGCATTAAGCATTAATATCATAAGTATATCATTGCAACTGTGCTTAAGTGCCACAAGGCAAAAGTCTAGGGTGTTATAAAAATGGGTACCCAGAGGAACTTGATCTGAACTGAGAGGGAGAACAAAAGCCGTTTATCTTCTAGGTTTCCAGGGAGACAGTGTGGTGGAATGCAAATACAGTCTTAGTGGCTTTTCTGTTTTGTTTGTTTTTCAAAGGTCTAACATCCTGATGAATTGAATTTGCTCAATTTAGGGTTATATTATGCTGCACCCCTCCCAAAGAAAATTATTTTAAAAATCAGGTGCTTTCTTGCCCAGTTGGCATAGCTCAGTGGTTAAGCATCGACCTATGAAACAGGAGGTCACGCACATGCACAGGTTCCAGGCTTGATCCACAGTGTGGGGCAGGCGGGAGGCAGCTGATCAATGATTCTCTCTCATCATTGATGTTTCTGTCTCTCCCTCTCCATTCTTCTCTAAAATCAATACAAATATATATATATTTAAATCAGGTGCTCTCTTTACCTTTATGCAAGCTTAAGCCTTTAAGTAAAGAATCATGGTATAGAATAGTAGAGATAAGATCTTTCTTGAGACTCGTCTTCAAATCTGTACCGTTTATATTTTTTAAATACCTGCCACATTTTTAAAAAATGCTTAAACATAATGCAAAGAATGGATACTAAAAAATTACCTCTTGTTTTGTATAATAAAATATTCATTATGATAAGTAATCTTGGTTTTGACAAAGCATCAGAGAGAGGCATAACTCTTGGGAAGCTGAAACTAATACAAAACAATATTGAATGTAAACTGTAATTTTTTAAAAAGAGAGAAGCATAACTCATATATAATAGAGTAGATTTACATATTGCAGAAACAGCATTATTTTCAACCATCTAAAGGATGGCATCTTTTTTGTCATGGATCTATATGCCAAATTACAAGTGTTCAAATATCCAAAAACTTCCTAATTCTGCTCAACACCATTTAGACTTTTAAAAAATAAACTTAACTGAGAAAATACATAAGGTTAATTCACCCTGAAATCTTCTGCATTTGTATGGATTTGAAAGTTTAAATATTTTAGAAATCTAAGATAAATAAGATGTACTTAACCTCCTTCCCTTGTCTTATCCCTTGTATTGAATACTAAGCAACATGAGGAATCAGTACATAGCTACATGTACATTTAGAGAAGAGTTGCTTTTGCCTGGATGGTCTGAGTGCCTTAGCCTGGAGGGAATGTCAACATCTTCCTCCTGGTTACCTAGCTAGTCCTGTTCCTCTCCCTTTTTTGTTTCAGGGTCTTTGCCACCTCTCACATCTTTTCACCTTCCTACTAATGAGCTCGGAGAGTATGGACTTATCTTATGACTAAAACAGGTATAATTTGCCTTCATTTCTGAATATCAAAGCAAGGCATTAGAGCACAATTCTTCTTTGTGCTCAAAGCAAGAAATATAGAAAAAAAATAGGAAACACTTAGCAATGTGGCAAACTATGCTAATAGCCCCAAATTCTGGATAAAATAATATCAATGAATGAAATCAAAGAACTAAATAAATGGAACAATATCCCATGTACATGAATAGGAATACTCAATATTTTCAAGATATCAAGTAAATTGATCTGTAGAGTCAATGCAATCCTTATCAAAATCCCAGAAACTTATGTTATGGATATCACCAAACTAATTCTGAAGTTTATGTGGAGATGCAAAAGACCCAGAACAGCAAACACAATATTGAAAGAGAAGAAACTTGGAGGACTGGTGCTACCCAACTTCAAAATGTACTATAAATTTGCCTTTACCAAGAGAGGGTGGTATTGGTGAAAAACTATATAAGTAGAGCAATGGAACACAATAAAGATTTCATAGTTAGAATCAACTGATCTTTGACAAAGAAACAAAGCCAATGCAGTGCAATGCATATTACTTAGTGAAAGATCTCAATCTGAAAAGGTTGTGTACCGTATAATTCCAATTATATGACATCCTGGAAAAGGCTATAGAGACAACAAAAATATAAGTGCTTGCCAGGGATGCTGGAATGGGGAGTCAGGGGCGGGGAGATGAATAAGCAGAGCGCAGAGGATTTTTAGGGCAGTGAAACTATTCTGTCTGATATAATGATGAATATATGTCATCAGACATTTGTCCAAATTCATAGACATTTGTCCAAACACCAAGAGTGCAACAAAGAATAGTCTCTTCAACAAATGGTTCTGGAACAATTGGACAGCTACATGACAAAAAAAAAAAAAAGAACCATGACACAGATTTTACAGACTTCACAAAAATTAAATCAAGATGGATCATAGATCTAAATGTAAAATGCACAACTATAAAAATCATAGATGATAACAGAGGACAAAACCTATATTTAACAGTAAAGACTTGATCTATGAAATAAATGATTGATAAGCTGAACTTCCTTAAAATTAAAAATTATTGCTCTGCAAATGATACTGCCAAGAGAATAAAAAGACAAGCCACAGAATAGGGGGAAATATTTTCAAAAGAAATCTATAATAATAAAAGCATAATATGCTAATTAGGCTGGACGTCCTTCCAGACAACCTTCGGGACAAAGCTGGGGCTGCGAGGGAAGCCCGGGTCCTGGGTCCTGGCAGTCAGGGGACGGAAGGCCTACTCTTGCACAAATTTTGTGCATCGGGCCTCTAGTATGTAACAAAGGGCTGTTCTCCAATATAGAAAAGGAGCTCTTAAAACTCAACACTAAGAAAACAAAGAACTCAATTCAAAAATGAGCCAAAGACCTTAACAGACACCTGACTAAAGGAGATGTACTGATATCAAAAAATAGTCAAAGGTGCTCCACATCATAAGTTATCAGGGAAATGTAAATTAAAGCAACAGTGAGCTACCACTGTGTACATATTAGACTGGCCACAATCTGGACCACTTACAGCACCAAGTGCTGGAGAGGATGGGGACCAACAGGCATTCTCACACATTGCTGGTGGGAATGCAAAATGGTACAGCCACTTTGGAAAAGAGTTTGGCAGTTTCTTGAAAAACTAAACATACCCTTAGAATATGATTCAGCAGTCAAACTCCTTGGTACTTACCCAAAGGAGTTGAAAACTTTGTCTATACAAAAACCTGCACAAGGATGTTTATAGCAGCTTTATTCATAATTTTCAAAATTTGGAAGCAACCAAAAGATGTCCTTCAGTATGTGAAGGGATAAATAAACTGTGGTACATCCAGACAATAGAATATTTATTCCATGTTTAAAGTAAATGAGCTATCAAGCCATGATAAGACATGGAGGAACCTTAAATGCATATTACTTAGTGAAAGATCTCAATCTGAAAAGGTTGTGTACCGTGTAATTCCAATTATATGACATCCTGGAAAAGGC